TCTGATGAGGTTAATAAGAATATAAAAATAAAGAGGATTTCTTATCCTGATCAGGTGATAGGATTTCTAGATATTTATGTAGCAGTTATCTGACTTTTGTAAACATTCAAAGGTGAGGTGTTGAGCTCCATCACCAGACTGGGTCATCTGGAGAAATGGCTAATTCATTTGAATGAAGTGGATAAGAAAACACCTTCAATGAAAGATCAAACAGGGAATTATAGCTGGGCTAAATGGAGAAATGGAAAGTGAATTTCTTTGATAAAGGAGATGATAGGTAATCAACAGCGTACTACTCTTTAAATGTGCAAAAGAAAGGATTCCATTTAGATTATTTGTGAACCTGTGATGGAAGCTTACCTAGCTCCCAATTTGAGGAAATCTTAACGGAGGAAGTATAATAGCTCCACAATTATTAGCTAGATATATGGGTGAATATTTTTTTATTTAGCATTGTGCTACGGAAGAATTAGATGAAAAATTTAGCTGAATTTTTATCAATCTCTTAAGCTACTATTGTTGGGGAGACTTCCATTTCGTATGAAAATGAATGATGAAGAGATTAGTAGTTCGATCTCATCAGAAGATGACAGCTAAATCCCGTTATACTGCAGCCGTTTGGCCTTAATATGACCTTGAGGTTGATGCAGTCCGCGAGACATTCTTCGCTTTTGATGTAAATGGGTTGGCCTTTTATTCATTATATGACGGACATCATCAAAGCTGGGAATCATTCTTGTGAAAGTCTTAAGTTAATACCATATCAAGAAGACTGACCAGTTCTACCTTATGTCTTATATATAACGAAAATGTATAGACGTAAATAGATGGATATAGAAGGATTTGACTAATATCCTTTCATATTAGTCAGGACACTTCTATTTGAGTGTGCCTGTATGCATATGTGTCTTAACGCCTGTGCATAATAGGAGGTCCAATTTAGAGTAATTAATAGAGCCAAAATTTAGGATCGACAGATGATTTCAGAGCTATTCGGGCTGTGGTACAAACTCTGGAGGAGCATCTAGAGATTACACAAGGAATAAGATTGAGTATAGCCCTATGGACAGACGCAAGGACTTACGATGGGATCTTGCTTAGCTCCCGTCTTGTCGAGCAACATAGCCATACTCGAAGAACACTTTTGTAAGAGGCAATAATAGCCTCAAATTGTTGCTTAGATGTATATGGATTACTATTTTGTCATTAGGTATCATGGTAACTAGGTTTTCGAGGGTACCTGTTGATCATGTATATGAGATGTGAGCTTTATTCACCTTATTTCATTTAAGGGGATGAAGGATCGGTAATTGAATTTATCCACAATTGTGTTTCCATCGAATTTCGTATAGCTTAACTTTTCCAAAGGGTATTCTCATCCAGGCTGAAGTGAACTGTAGTTTTGACCTCGTCTTGGTCTCATCAGCACATCCAACGGGACTCGAACTATGACTGTGAAGCGTATAATCCCGGCAAGTTAACCACTACGCCATATTACTACGAGTGCCCTTTGGCTGCAGGGCAGATGGGCATTTCAATTAGAGCCAGACATTTCGTTTCAGAAGATTGAAGATTGATAGTTGAAATGAGCTTGAGTGAATTTATCTCATATATATGGCCTACTTATTAATGCAACATAAGTAGTTTACTTGATTGCTATAGCAAGTACAATTGTACTTATTCGACAATGCTTGAAATTCAAATCTGCCCTGTGTCCCAAGGGCACTCGTGACAATGTGTGGTAATGGTTAACTTGTTGAGATTATACGCTGCATTGTCATGTTTCGGGTGTGCGGATGAGACCTAGGCAAGGTCGAACCTACAGTTTACATCGTCCTGGATAAAATATATTTTTTTGGGGAAGTAAAGCTATGTGAGATTTAATGGAAGCTTAATGACTACTCATATGACTGTAGGAAAATTCAACTACCAGTCCCCTTATTACATTAAATCAAATAGGGCATTTATACCCCATATATTAAATGTGACTTAAAGTTCAAAAAAACATAACGAGCTGGTTGCTTATAAGAATTTTGCATATCAATTTTGGAGAAGATCAATCAAGACATTGGAAACAGATTGTGCAAGGTACACTACTGTTGTCTCAGGTTGGCAGTCTAATCTAATCATAAGGTTCTATACTGGTTAATAACTACTCTAGCAGTCATTTCATCTGCCACTAGCTATAAACACAAACAGTCACGCACACACACACACTAAGGGCAAATGTCATTGTGCCCTCCATAGGTTTCCGCACCCACGTATCTCTGAAAATTTTTTAGATCTTTAATTTAGCACTTCTAGAGATGTACTATTCGCATGTTTATGGTACAGTTACCTTTTTGAAGCTGAGTCTAGGTTTAAGTTCTCTGAATGCAATATCGTTTTCTTGACTTTCATTTGTCCTTCATGATCCTATTCCTTGCGGTGTCTACTCCTGTTGTTGAATAGATGCCCTTGGTCCAAGCGTCCTTATTCAGTTGTCCTTGTTGAATTTCCAAATCTTCCAAGGCAGCGAGGGAAATTCTCGTGGACTCCTTCCTTTTATTTATTTTTTTTGTCGGAGGATGTCAGGTGTTTTCCTGCTCTTCTGTTTTTGGTGTTTTCCCCAAATGAGGGTAGTCTTGCCGTTGTCTGTCAGTCACTCGTGTGACCGGTTAGGACAATGAGTTCGGCTCCGATATTTGCATATCCATTGTTCTGCAGAGTCACTGATGTTCTTTAATTATTGCGCTGATCTTGCTTCCCGTCCCTCCAATGTACTTCTGTTTATAGACCCTACGGTTTGGGCAGTATACTCCAGAGCACTCCATTTTGCTGACTTTTTCGTGTTGTGCGGGCATGCTGGTGACAAATTTTGTCGACACTAAGGCTAGAGGAGACTCCGACCATACCTAAGGCCACACCATCTTGGTCTTTCTAACCTTGACTCTCGTTTGCTAGGCAGTGCTTTAGTAGCTGGTATACTCTAGCGCTGGTACATTTGCAGTTGCTTATCCATCATTGTCCAAGTATGATCTCGAATCATTGTCGTATAGCTGAGATGGTTTCAATTTTGTCTACCAACTTGTCAGTTGAGGGCAGAGAGAATATTCAATTTCATTATACCGATTGATACTCTACCGTTTCAATCGATATTTCCCTTTTATTAGTTGCAGTTTCATAGTTGTATGTCAAGGTAAATTTTTAAAAGAGCTTGATTGCTGTTCCCATAGTCTCTTTTAGCTCAATAACATATGGTTTTGTAGGATAAAATCCACTCAACATCTTAATCTGTAATAATACCCTTGATTGTTTCTTGGAAAGCTGGATATCTCATCAAATTCTAAATATATCCTTGATATCAATGACTTAAGTACAGTCCACATGTATCAACCACTTGGGAAATTAACTTTATGTATATACCAAATTAATGGTTTGTCCTGACATAGATCTAACTGCCAAATATGGCACTTAATTTTTCTTTACTAAATCAAAATAAAACCGCCAATTTTAACTCGCCGGTAAAATGCACAAACACAGAATAAGGGACTAAATAGAGATGTTTCCCTCTTGATAATACTGAGCAATATCTAAGAAACTGGCTACATTTCCTTAGCTAAACTTCAAGAAGTATGGAGTTTTATTTAAACACATGAACATGGGGATTAATTATCACAATTCACCCATATTTGAGTTAGGAAGAAACTTTTAGACATTCTACGAATGCTTACGTTCCACATTGCTATCCTTTAAACATTTTAGTATAAAAGTAGCGCTTGAAATTCGGGTTAAGAGGAATTTAAAATAAGTTCATTTTAAAAGCTGCTTTTTCATGCAGAAACTCTCCTCAATTATCTTTCGATTTAACTCATCGAAAGCTACTTTTCCGTAATGATGTATAACAAGCAACAGCAGGGTAAGCTGAGCTACAAACTAAACTTAAGAGCCTTTCTGGTGCCTGTTCGAGTAAAGTCGAGAAAATCGAGTAAAATTTTCATTTTTCACAAAATCTATCCTTAAAAACCTATCTTCTTCTGACTGAGGAAAAGCTTGTTGGTCTGCATTAAACGTAAATCCGGTTTACAACACAAGATTCGATTAGCATTTCTGGATTTACTTGTCAGATGCCTGTCATTGAGCAAATTGAAAAATCACAGAAATTTCTTCCAACTTACTGTCTTTGATTAAAACTTCATTTGCTTGACCGAACATTTGTAGGATGTTACTAGTAACTCCCTGCAGAATGTGATAAATATTTTTCACAGTTGACTCAAAAAAAACAATTTAGGGGAGAAAATTATGGGTTTCATTGCTGGATGACCCATCTTCATATTCGTCGCTATAAATTCATGTCAAATCACTACCATTGGGTTTCTAAGAGGTTTTTAGCTATATCAACTATATTATATCATCCTAAATTAATCTGGCTTCTCTAAGCCTTATTATTCCATAGTCCCCAAAGAAATATCAAATTGAGGCCCATTAAAACTAGGGCATATAAATAACAACTCTGTAGAAGAGAGCCTATTTGTATCATCTGGAAATTTGAGAAGCAGCTTACACGATAAAATATTTAGCTCCCAGAATTGTTAAGGCAAAAAACCCGAAAAAATCGAGCTGGCTACTGGGAGCAACAATGAGGATGCCAGTTGGTCGGGATCATTTGAATAATATCGCTAGCCTTAAACTGCCGATCAAGGTAGGAAAATCTCGTGTCTATAAATGGGGGGGTGGATTAATTGCTCTGCTTTGTACCCATCAGAATAGATTCCGTTTGAGTCGTTTCTACTCATGCTATTATGTATAAAGCTTGCCGTGCAAGTTTAGTCGCAACTAGCCACCAGTACAAAGAGGTTAAACTAGAGACAGTTAAAGAGAATTTCATCTTCGTACCCTTAGCTTTATTTTTGAGCCTTATATTTTGACCTACAATTGATTAACCAACTAATCAAATAGCCAAAATTATAAGTAATCGTTTGACAGTTCATTGTATTTTGACTCACTATTTTTGCTAAGTTATGGCCAGAATGCTGTCCTGCTCAGAAGAGGTCTTCTACATGGCAGTCAACATTGCCTCACAGTTTCGCCAATACTAGAAGAATAATGTGTCCCAAGGACTGCAATAATTGCTATCTTAATCTCCCGAGGTTGCTTAACTCAGGACTGACTTTTGAAGGAAACGCTCACTATCATTCCGTAAATCATCTAAGCGGCCGAGGGTAACCAACTTCTGATACAATTGATCCTTTAGACGTTTCAAATTGCACCTTTATAGGTAGGATGGCTTAAATAGACCACATTCAATCAAATAAGGCTTGAAGATATCAAGACCAAGATGTTGTGGCCTCTGTTAGGGTCGCAGTGTCCTTTCGATTAACTGAAGTGGGTTGACCTTGTTGTCATAGCAGTTAGTAGAAACCTTCGTCCTTTTCTTCTTCGTCTCTCTCCATCAGGCATTTTCGCGGGAATCAAAGCTCTACAAATGACTGTTTTGGCCAGTTTGGTCTAAATTTTTGGAACGATGACATGGAGGGCTTTTCAACCAGATTATCTGAACTGAATGTGCCGCCTATTCTACAGTAACATCATAATAGCATGACTCGAATCCAAACAGGGTTCCAGGAATCCACATTCCAGAATAATCAAAGGGATTGCAATTGCTCGCATGATGCTACCAATCATCCCTCCATAGGCCAAATATTCGACGTGTCTCAGTCACGCCATAAAAACAATGATTGTCTATCACTACACTATCCTGACTAACTGGCATATGGTATATGCTATCCAAAGACTTCTACTTCTTAACTTAAAGTCATGGCCAGCGTCAGTCGCAGGCCCTCGCCGTGGCCGTTTGGCTCGTAGATATCCCGTTAGAAGTGGGAACTGCAGAAGAAAGCACTCGCAACCGTGAGTCCAGGGTTTTGATTCAGCCCTTTATGCTCGACGTAGCTGACGAGTCTAGATCACTCGGACGGCCTCTTACAGTCAATTAGGCATAGTCCTCTTTTGAAGTAATGAATAATGTTAATGCTTCGACCAGTGAGTATTCGAACCGTAACTCTCTGTAGTTAATATTATATTTATAATTGAGGCACAAAAGGGCAGGCATTTGAGTTAGTGTGCTTTATGGGCATTTGATATCTCATTATTTCATATGAAGCCTCAGAAATCTGACCAGCTGATGCCAATAAAAGACTGTAGTTTTGTATCTAAACTGATTTATAACAAATTAACTATCCTTTTCGCATTAAACCTTATTGAATTAATAAGAATTGATGATAAATTCCTATAGATATACTCATTTATAGCTGTTTAACTATACTACTTTGCGAGTAGTGCCATTTCATAACGTGAATTTATTTAATATTCTAAAACTTACAAAACATGACCTCTGGATACATTTAGCTACATGACTGGATTTCACCCTATTTCGTTTAGGACGATAAGGGCACTGGTAGTTGAATTTTCTCACAATCATATTATTAGACCTTGCGTTTCCAGTAAAGTTCACATAACCTTACTTTCTCAAAAAGTATTCTCATCCTGGATGGACTGCAATTTCGACCTCGTACACGCTTTATCAACTCCTACAATGGTACTCGAACCCTGATGGTGCAGCGTGTAATCTCGAAACGTTAACCAATACGTCATATTGCTACTAGCGCCCTTGGATCACGTGGCAGATGTAAGTTTCAAGGAAGGTTAGGCATTTTCCAATTTTACTTTCTTTGGTGGGGTTGTCGATGACGCAGATTTCTATTTATATAACAAGCGATTACATTACTTATAAATGAAAAA